TAGATAGATAGATAGATAGATAGATAGATAGATAGATAGATAGATAGATAGATAGATAGATAGATAGATATAAATCCTATATATATTAATCACACATACATACATACATACATACACACACACACACACACACTCTAGGGTCGAGCTCAGGGTACAGTGCTTGCTTGCTCTGCATGAGACTCTTAAATTCAATCCCAGCAAGGTGTGTGTTTGTTTGTTTTTGGCAGCTTGATTGTTCTGTTTTGGAGCATTAACTTTGTAAATGACATTGTATCATAGTGTCAGAAGGTTAAACACATCTCCAGTCTTTTCTCTCTTGCATCCCCCTCTCCAGATGCCCTTCATAGCACCTGATATCCATTGTTAAAACTTAGCCTCCGTGAAACCTTGTTTGAAAACCGCTGCAAGAAGGTGTAATATATCAAGATCTTGTGTGTTTTAGGATTACATGCTATTAAGTCATCATTCTTTATTTACCCCTTGAGGCAAAATTAAAAACTTACATTGGGGCTGGAGAGATAGCTCAGTTAAGACCACATACTACTCTTCCAGAAGACTCATATCAGGCAGCTCACAGCTGTCTTATTACCAGCTCCTGGGCTTCCATTGCTGTGACCTCCATAGACACCGGCACCCCGTGCATATGCTTACATGGACATGCATACGCGCATACACACACACACACGTAATTTAAAATATTGGAAAACAAATTTTAAAAAACAAAACAAACAAAAAAACACCTTTATGTAGCCAGGCTTGGTGGTATATGCCTTCAGTCCTAGCCCTAGAGATGCAAAGCAGGCGGATTTCTGTGAGTGAGAGATCAGCTTGGTCTACATAGCCAGTTCCAGGCCAGCCAAGGCTGCATAGTATGGCCCTGTTTCAAAAATAAAATTAAAAATATTTCTATGTACTAGTGAGTAGATTTTTACATATGTATGTTTAAATGAAAAACATTTTTCACAGTTTTAAACAAAGTTCTAGGGGTTATTTATAATAGATACTAAAAGGATTTTGAATCTGTGCGATTCTCATGTCTGTGTTTTCCAGACCGCTTGGAGGGTGACAGATCAGAAGGTTCGGGTCAGGAGAATGAAAACGAGGATGAAGAATAAACGACTCTTTGGCAAGCACTTAAATGTTCTGAAATTTGTATATGACATTTATTATATTTTTTTTCTTTACAGAACTTTAGTGCAATTTAAGGCTATGGTTTTTTGGAGTTCTTTCCCATTTTTGGGATAACCAAACATTAGTTTGGAATGAGTGTGTGCATGAGTTGGGTGTGTGTGTAAAACAAAACAAGCAAAATGTTTTTGAAACTTTTTGCTGTGTATGGAGTCCTAGAAAATGCAAAGTGCAATACTTCCCTAACCCTCAGATGTGGGAGCTTGGATCAATGTTGAAAAGTCATTTTCATTGTAGTGAAAATGTTGGTTCAAATAAATTTCTACACTTGCCATTTGCATGTTTGATGCTTTCTAATTAAAGATGTTGGTTGTCTTAAGATATCCTAAATTTGACTTTTTATTTCACTCTTTGCTACTTTCACCCACACTTACCAGGCATTTCTCTTCCCAAAGTACGTTTTCTTGAGCTTCTGTCTTGTGTGTGTACCTCATCCATACCAGTCACTGAGCCTTACAGATGATTCTCATGAGCACAAGTGGCAGGGGCTGTCTTCTGGTCTACCTCCGTCCAGGACGTCACTGCAATCCGTTAGCTCACTCTAGCATCCACCTGCACTGCACTGGGTCCTCTGTACCCAGCCTTAGTGTATCTTAGTGTTTGTCCTGGACTGCTCCATAGCCCTAACACTTCCCACCTCCTGTGTTGTCTGTGTTTCCCTCAGTCTAATTACATGTGCCCATCTCTCCAACCCACTTACAAAAATAAAGGCTTTTCTCAACACCAGGTTATTGTGTATTGTACTTTTTAATCATCTTCTGCACAGCATCCGTGGCTGTGAGCCTCTTCCAGAAGCCAGAACCTACCAGGTGGGAGAGAGGCAGTTGCTGCCTCCTCATACCTTACAGACAAAAATAGCTTGGCAGGCCGAGTGGTGTATCTGTTGTTTAATGTGACAAAAGGACTCCTTCAAAAGCAAGGGTCTCTGTCTTTCACTCTCTGTGTCTTTCTCCCTCTTTCTCACACACACAGCATTTGCTATTCCAGGTTTATAGGCAGGATAGGACATGCATCTTCTCTTTTCAGAAGATATCTTTGGTTTTCTAGTCAGTGAGCTCTTGGCATATATCTTTTGTACAAAAGATAGTAACTAACCTCAGCAACTTTTCTGTGACCTGTAGTTGAGCTAGTAACTAACTTCACTATACCTCCTTGTCATCCAGCAGTTGGAGAAAAAATTGAACTACATTGAACCCATTTTGAAACAGCGATCCAATGCTACCAAAAACAAAACATCGACACCAGAAAGAAAATGTTGGAGTTCTCAAGGGCAGAACTATAGATCCATATTGTATCTCGTCCATCATCATCAGAGCCAGTCTTGAGCTCTAGCTCTGGATCACATCTAGAAGTGCTTCTAAACTGCGTAGCTGCCTGATAGATGAAAGGCCAGAGTCTGAGCAGATCTGATAGCCTGCCATAGTCATCTCGGGCATGGGGCCCTCTCTGATAGTGCTTTTGGTGTATTTGCAATGCCAGCTGCTTCACTCTGGGTTTAATTACTAGGTAACTCGACTGTTCCTGTTATTTTTGGTGACCTAAATATCCTGCCAGAAGAATTGGCTGAATCAGACACTGAGAGTAAGACATAAACTGTCTCCAGCTGGCCCATTAACAGACAAAAGTATAATAACACAGAGCCATCTCTATGGGGAGCATGGACCTCTTCCCCATAGAGATGGCTGCTAACTCAGGAATACTTGCTGCTGGCAGAAGATAATTAGCTTTGTCATGGAAGAAAGTGGATGTTAGACTAAACCAGTATCGTTGGGTTTGCTAAAAGACAGAGGGTACTGGAAGACTGAGGTCAAAGTGTTACTGGTAGGCAAAGATCAGAACAAAAGCAAATGGCAGGTGTCTACACTGGTGCCATATGCTGGTGAAGGTACAGGAGCTGTGTGCTTCGTTTTCCTGGAGCAGGCCTACCAGACAAGTAATTAGAGATACATGGCAAAGACAAAGTTCTGGCCACCCATGATGCAGTGGAGAGAGGGATGCAGAGTTGGGGCACTGGCCCCAGGGTTTGTTTACCTATACACTCAGAAAAAATGAATGGCATCAGTATGAACAGGAAAGGGGAAAGGAAAGGATGGGCCTTGTGCAGGGGTGGTTGTGTCTATGCTACAAACTGCTACTCAGCATCTTCGCTTTCATCTGACACGAAGACTGGAGGCATAGGTAGAGAGTAGATGAAAAAGCATCAGTTCATTAATCCTCTAAAAAGAAAACAAACAGGCTTAACAGCTGGTCATGGTGGCATATGCCTTTAGTCCCAGCACTTGGGAGGCAGCGTCAGAATGATCTCAGTTTGAAGCCAGCCAGGGCTACGATTAAGAAAAAAAATCAGGCTTAGAGTGTCTTAAATATAGTAAGCAACAGTCATTTAACCCAACACTTCTTGAGTCTAACTACCTTGGGGAATTTGAATGCTTAAATGGATCTATCCAAGTGACTTTAATACAGGAATCCTCACTCCCAGCTCTGCAGTGAGTGTCCTCTTGCTCTCAGTCCTCTTTTTAGGCCATGGGGAGGTAAGATGGGAATAAGGCTGTAGGAAGTTGAGGGAAGGGACAGGTACCCAGAAATGTCCATAGACCGCAAGTCCAAGCGCAGACTGATGACTTACACAGCTGTACACATTCCAAAAACATTTAATCAGGTAAACAAAACTGGTCTAAATACACTTTCACTTATTCATAAATACTGATTTATATATAATAGCTGCGACAATTTTATCTTCAAAAACACCATCCAAAACTTCAAGTTAAATATATTTTCAGGATTAACTTGGTGGGGTTTTGTTTTTTGAAGTTTGGTTTTTAACCACTTCTTCCTCCAGGTGTATATCATCGGAACACACAGGACACTCTCTCAAGCATGTCTGTACCACCGACATCCATTTTCAGGCACACAGGCTTTCTACCACACTTGGCATGGTCTTGTCACCTCTGGGAGGAACTGGTTCACCTGTGATTTCTGTCTAATAGTGTCAAAAGAAAAACCAGAAGTGGCTGCTGGTTCCTAAGCCATTAATACTGCTTTTAAAAAGGGATTTTTAAACACAGCTTGGTATATTGTGTGCTCAAAATTATACTGACCAGAATTGTGCTTGTGGCAATCTTGTGCAGATTGGTATTTGTGCTTTTAATTCTTTCCAACCTGACATAGGGCCTGTGAGTAAGACACCTCACTGCTGCGCCTTGGTTCTTCCTCCCTGCTTAATAAAGCCCAGCTGGCCCACTCCCCTAAGGATGACCTTTAATCTACTTGTGCCTCTTTCTCCTTGGGCTACAAGGCTTGATCCTCTCACCCTCAAGACCAAGACCTAGGGATTTAGGTCTTGTTTACCTCATTTTGAGACAAAGCTTTCCCATGGCCTTCCTGGATTCTCGTGTCCTCTCTCCCCAACCCATAAGGACAGTACCCGCCTGTCCCTGTCCCTCTGTGTAGTCATTTCTGGCTGGTCACTTCCATGTTGCTGTGGTTCATGTCCTACCTGCCTTCTGCTCTTCCTCCCTAGTTTTCCTCTGGTTCTATTATACACTTCTTATACCTCCTCTGCCTCTGCCATCAGTCTTGGAAGACAAGAGCTGTAGGAGCTGGAAGCCAGACACTGTCCCTGCTAGACAGCCCCTAAAGGGATTGGGGTAGGGTAGTACAGGGGAGGTCAAAGTTGAGTTGATGTCATTAGGGACTCAGTAGATCATCTATCACTCAAGGTAACGTAAAAATGTTTCTTTCTTGTGCAAGCAGGTCATTAATGTGGAAGGAAGACTTTACCAGAAAAGCTTTTTTGTTCCCAATATTTAGGGAATTTTGTTCCAAATTCCCCTCAGCTTTTCTGCCCTCCTCTCTGTTGCCTTCCTTTTGTCATCACTCCTTAAGTTCTTTTGTACCTAATAGCAAATAATCCCCCAGGCAACAACCCTCAACATAACTAACCATCCTGAATTGGATAGCACATCTTTTGAAGGTTCTCGTGTATTAGAGATCCCTGTAAAACAGGAAGGATTCTGCCCCTTCAGTTATGCTGAAAAACAGGACCAGTGGCTCCCTGGACGTACCCTGTGCTGTGTTGGATATTATCATGAGCATTTTTGTAGTCTACCGAGCACCCTGTGCAGGTAGCATCCTTGGATTCTGCGTCCCTATATACAAATAGATTACAAAACTTCACTCTACAGATGCAAGAATACTGAGTAATTTGCCCCCAAACACCTAGCTAGCAATTGACAACCTGAAATCTTAACTCACAGACATCCCGCACCAGCGCCATCCCTGCTGTTTCCCATCTGCCTGAAGCAAAGGGAGATAGACTGAAGTCCTCAATCAGTGCCTAACACCTGATAGGCTCTTAGATGTTTAAACTGAGGCACACAGTGGGGCCTAGCACATGCCTGTTCTTGGCCTCCTCATCTTCAGCCACATCATCCTCATTATTCCTTCCAGACAGGAGACAGATGAAACGAGGCTGGACATGTTCCATGAGTTCAACTTCTGGTCCACTGAGAAATGTCTCTATAATCTGCAAATCTAAGGAGCACATTGTCCATTTGAAAAACCACTCCTAATAGTTCCGTCTTAACAGACTAGCGAGCTCTCTCACTGTATCAACACTAGTTTCCTCCTCTTGTCTAGACCCAAACTACAGTGCACTATTGCAAATACTGAGTTTGTCTCGGTGTGATGGTTTCATTCTTGGCTGAAAGGTGAAATCAGTTACACAAATGAGAATCCATGAAGCAGTGCGCAGCAGTGGACCATTGTCTTTACAGTCCTTCACCCTCCTGTCCCAGGAGCAGCGATTTTCTTAACATCACACAGCCCATTACAGGTAGTTCCTGTGAGCTCCATCCAGGTCACACACATAAGGTAAGAATCAGTTGTCAAGGCCAGGGGCTTGTCAGAAGAACAAGCCTCCGTGGGTTTTTTTTTTTTTTTTTTTTTCTGCTCTCCACAGCCACACTGCTGCCACCTAGTAACTAAGATCTTAAACTCTGTGATTTGGGTTGGCCTGGGAAAAGCTAGGTGCTGAGCTGTAGTGCCGGGCCCAGTGCCTTCTCAGGCGCAGCAAACCCCACAGCTGGCTTCGGGGACACAGCTCAGGACCCACGTCAAGGGTAAAGAGCAGCAGAGGTGGGCCACTGCCCTACAAGTGATCCTATCAGAATCAGGACTGAGGTATTTAAGCAAACCAATGTCCCACCTACCAGTACCTATGGGTCCCCTGGGGAAGGCCTCAGGCCTACCACTGCACAGTAGTTTGCAGCTAACATGGCAGGGCTTAGTTGGAATGGTGGGCTTCTGCACAAAAGGCAGGTGTCCTCTAAAGAGGACAAAAGAGAACATATGGAACTACCTCTCCTCTCCCCAGCCCACTTCTCTCAAGCTCAGAGCAGAATCCCTGAATGTGCAAAAGCATGGTTCTGGCTCCTAAACCCCCCTCTGAGACTCAGTCAAGATGTTCACCTGCTTCGACAGTCCAAACATAGCACCGTAGTTGGAATACCCGAACCCTCTGGAGCCACAGTTGGTCATCACTGCCTGATGCTCTACATCCCCAGCAGTATCCTCAGCTGCATCTCTCTCCCTCCCTCTCTCTGTGCTAAACACTGGAGTTACATGGTGTAGGCCCAGTGCTCCATGAGGTGCTTAAAGACCTGCAGTGCTGGGTGAATGAGTAGTCGTCCTCCATTAAAAGGAATGGGAGTGAAACTCAGTGTTCCAGGTCAGGTCTCTTGTATGCCAGTAAATCTGGGGCCAGCCAGTAGGATTCAGGGGCCTCAGCATCCTTTCCATAAAGCCTATCCCAGGGCAATCAGGAAAGAACTCTCCAGCCTTTAAGCCAATCTATTGCACTAACTGGCAACCCATACCTAGACAGCATGCCTCTGTGCATATTAACTAATTGGGAATATGGTCCCTCGATAACAGAATAGAGAAGAGAAATGCAGGAATGAGAGCAGTTCCTCTGCCCCTGCCACTCCACCCAAAATCTTGCTACTCCCCTGCACAGCTGACCTGGAGTTGACAAGATCACACAAATGCCAAGCCCAATGAAAGGTCTTCAGCAGACCAGGAACCACAGGAAAGACACTGCCATACCAGGAGCCAGGCAGCCCACAGAAAACCATGGAAAGTAAGTCAGTCTGGAATGGCTGCCTCGTGGCAGATACGACAAAAGTCCTGGACCCTTCCTCTGCTCTGCAAAACGGAGAGCCCTGAGCATCTCTTATCTAAGCACCCATGCTTAAGAGCAGTGGGGAAGATAATCTTCCTGACCACCACAGCAAGCACTCAAAGCTCAAACCCCCCAAGTTCTAGCTCAAAGAGCAAGAGGAGTCCGAGCCAAACAAACCCCACCTGCCCTCCCACCTTTGCCTCAGCCTCTTCATAACCGTGTCTTGGTAGGTGGCATTTAGGACTGCCCTCAACAGCCAATCAGCACAAAGGCAGAAGACCAGGGCATGCAGGGAGCTCCTCCTGTTTGCTGGGCACACAAACGTATACAGATGCTGGTGCACCCACGGGTCATGTTCAGTTTGCTCCCATCTCCTAAGTTACAAACTCAGAAGACATCAAAGAGCAGAGCTGGAATTATCTTGGAGGCCACTCATTCCAATTCCTCACTCCTTTCTTTTTCTCCAAAAGGCCTAGTGACGGGGCAGGATGTCCCTGAAGACATGCAGACAAAGACCACGCTGGGCCTAGAGGCCAGGATGTGAGCTCTGGTCCAGTGTGCCCTTTCTGCCTTGTGACCACCCCAGGGCTGCAGTGACAGTCACAACTGCTCCTGGGAATTAAGACCTATATCTTCTGTGTGAGGGATCCCCCCCCTCCAAATTCTCCCCAGCTGGGCATGACACCATAACCCCAGTCTTATTGATATGCCCTAACTCTCCAGGGTTTTTTTATTCTAAAAATGAAATGCCTGGTATTCACCTTTGTCTTTTATAGTGGTTTCCCCCTTTTCAAATACTTAAAAAAAAAAAAAAATTCAACAAGGAGGTGGCCACATCTTGGGTGGCCAGCAGCAGGGGCCACTAAAGGCCAAGTCCACTGAGGGCAGTAGCCACGGGCTGTGTTGTGTGCCCTGCACACTGGACTGGACTGTTCTGCATTTCGCCTAGTACTTGTGGCCCCATGCTGCTGGATCAACCACACGAAGCCCCCATGGTCTTACAGTGCTGAGGAGGGCTGTGCCATTCCATGCCGGGCCGAGTAGGGACTGCCTCTAGAAGCATCACCGAGACCATGCGAGCCAGGCCAGCTGCATCCACGTGGTGACCTCCCTTTAAACCCGCTGCCTCCAGCCCTCCCAAAACCCCAGCCGCTTCTCCATCGGCCTTTGTGTGTGGGTGCTTCGGAAGCCTCACTCCATCCCAGCGACCCTGAAGCAGCAGACACCGCGGTCAGAGACTGGAGACAGTATTTTCAGTCGTCCTGGCTGCACACCAGATGTTTCCTTCCCAGCCTCTGGCTGTCTGGTGACATCTTCCAGGGGTCTTGGCATGGGCACCAATACCAGTAACTCCGCCGTGCCCAGTCCCCCTCTGAGGCCTTCATCTCTGTTCTGCAGCTAAGACATTGCCTTCTTCAATGCTCTGTAGCTGCAGCCTCTGATTCACAAGAGTCCTGCTGCCTCGACGGCCCCCAAAGCTAGCCCCCGGGACGGTCCGTGCTGTGAACAAGACCCCTGGCAAAGCCTCGTCCCCAAATAAGTTGATTTTGGCTTCAGCCTCAATGGCTTTAGCCAAGCTGGCTGCATAACTGTCCAAGGATTTGTGTACTTCGGCTTTCACATGAAGAAGAGAGTTCTTGGCAGCCTCTGTGGGAGAAGGCAGAAAGGAAAGTTAGCAGGGAAGCCAGGACCCGTGACCATTCCAGGGATATGACCTCTGTTGGCTTTGACCCCAAGGAGAGGAGACAAGCAGAGGTTACAGGTACGAATTTTGACATCAGAGTCCCCAGGCTAAAATTCTGGACTCCCCCAGTTACTACCTGAGAAATGCCAGACACTGTTTTCTAGTTTAGTTCCCTCATCTACAAAGAGAAGGAAATTTCTTACTTCACATGGTCACTGTGACAAATGAGTGAGAAAAATCTGCCTACAATGTTTTAGCCTTTTCATCTTCAAAAGAATTGGCTTCTCGCAGCTCTTGGGAACAGCCTAGCCCGTGGCTGTAACCGTGCGCAGACCCGCATGCCCTGTCTCTCCTCCACTGCCCTCCAAGCTTCCCTGACTGTGGAATGCCTCGAGTTTGGAAGTGAGGTCAACAATTCCACTGTCCCATGAAGGATCGGGACCCCTGACGCCCACGCTGAATAGAAAAGAGGAGCGGAGGTGGCTCATAAGTACCAAACCTGCGCAGAGCCTCTCCGAGCCCACTGCCTAAGCTCTCGGAACATCTGGGGGAACTTCTCCTTATGTTTTCTGGAGAACAGGCAGCTTGCGGCTCACACTCCAGGAAGAAAGGAAGCGGGGAGACCTTAGCAGCCCCGGCTTGCTCCCCACCCCACACAGGGTGTCATTCCCGGCTGCACCTTGCGCTCAGCACCCAACCAGCAGGGGGCGCTCCCGGACCGACTCACTACCGGGACACAGAGGGGCTTGCTTGGCTCCTTGTGACAGGTCTGGGGAGGAGTTGGACTCCTTGTCCTGCGGCAGGGTAATGTAACCGCTGAAGGCTGCTGGCTAGCTCCGCTGCCGAATCTGCCTTGCCAGAGTAGCTGCTTAGAAATCTTGCCCTCTCTGAGCTCTGCTACCACCTTTCCCCTCACTTTGGATGGGATTGGGGTGGGGTGGAAAGAGATAGGTAATGGGCCCATATTTATTTTCATACTCAGTATTCACACCTTAAAGCCCCGGGCTCCAGCAGATGCTGTGGCTCCCTAATGCCAGAGGCTACCCTCACTGGGTGAGATTCAAGAGAAAAGAGATTCCTACGCACCAGGGCAGTCTAAGTGGCTCCTCTGTCCCTTGTCCACTTGGCTGGTCTGGAATGGAAACTAAGCCCAAGTCCCAAAGCCACCAGGCTGCTCCATGTTAACAGGTGGAGCAGGAAAGGCCAGGCGACGGGCTCGGGGCCCCGAGGGTTTCCGCTCCACTCATCAGGACGGCAGCCTGGCCTCCACTCCATGAGGGCCGTGTTTCCACCGACCACTGAGGAAGCAGGCTCAGACGGGCTACTTCACATTTATGACTGCCCATCATCCACCGAGCAGAGCGACTACTGTGGAGGGCTTGGAGCTAGCTTATCTTGTCAGGTTACTTACTTCCTGAGGGAAATGAAAATTGTCTGAGTGTTCTCTGTGTGTGTGTGTGTGTGTGTGTGTGTGTGCGCGCGCGCGCGCACGTGCACATGCGTGCACGCTCACATGGATGTAACTTTCTGTCTGTGTGTTTGTGTGTGTCTGTGTATGTCTGTATGTGACTGTGTATGTCTGTCTCTGTGTCTGTGTGTGTCTGTGTGTGTCTATATATGTCTGTCTCTGTGTGTGTCTGTGTGTATGTATGTCTATCTCTGTGT